AACACACTCTAAGAGGCTGAGGCAGGAAGGTTGCAAGTTCAGTCCAGCCTGGGCAACTGAGTGACTTAGCAAGACTTTGTCTCAAAAGTTAAAAATACAAAAAGAGCTAGGGATGTAGCTCAGTGCAAAGGCCTCAGATTCAATCCCCAGTACTGGAAAAAAAAATTTTTAAGGAAGGAAAGGCTGTCACATGTTACAACATGCCCTGTAGGAACCAGCCTATGAGCTGAGCTCAAACCTGACCAAGGGGTGACAAGAATGAAAAATAAGGAGACACAGAAACAAATTAAAATATGGGGGACAAGGGGGCTCTTCTTTCGACATAGAGCCCCAAATGACTGGCCCACCTTGGCTTTATTCACTCAGACACAGGCATGAGCAATTAGAGTTCCACAGGATTCATCTGTCTCCCTCCATGGTACTTCTCCAGGTAAAAGACTTAACCTCAGGTGGTTTTACTTTTCCCTGCAGTGTGTTAGCTCGCTTAGATGCCCTCTTTCTCCTCAGCTCTCACTGAGGAGGCTAACTAGGCCTCAGTCTTCCCATCTGATCACAATGGACCCGTCACAGATGAGTCCATGCAGGTGAAGCATTTGACATAGTAAAAATAATAGAAACAAAGCATGAGGGTGGTTACCAAAGGGTGAGGGGAGAGGAAATGGGAATTTGTGTTAAGGAGGTATGGAGTTCTGTGTTGCAAGATGGATAAGTTCTGTAGTCTATGGCACAATGATCAGTGAATACACTTAACACTACTAACTACAAAACAGGTAAGATGGTAAATGCACTGTTATGTGTTTATAATAACAATATTAATGGAGGAATGGACTGACACTGGCAACATGGATGAATCTTTTTTTTTTTTTAAATGAAACTTTTTTTTTTTTTTTTTGTACCGGGGATCAAACTCGGGTCCTTGCTCTTGCGCAGCAGGCAGCAAAATCACTGAGCTAAATCCCCGGCCCAACATGGATGAATCTTAAAGATAAGTGAAAGAAGCCAGGCTCAAAAGGTACATAACATTAATGTGACATTCCGAAAAAGGGAAAATTACAGGGACAGAAACTAGCTCAATGTCATCAGGAGCTGGGACAAAGGAGAGGCTAATTATAAAGGTGCATGCAGGAATCTTCTGGGGTTCCAAAGTGTCCTAAACTTTGATTGTACTTGTGGTTATATGACTGTAATGTGTTTTCTAAAACTCATAAAATTATACACCCAAAAGATCTTTACATCGATGTCTAAGAAAAACCTATATTTCAAAACTGGTACCTCTGGAATTTATATTAGGGGATGGTATATAGGCTATCCCTCAATAAGCCTGACTGAAGAGAAAAAAGCAAAGCAACAAAATGTTAAGACCTGAATAATTCTGGTGAAGAGTACAGTGTGTTCTTTCCCTTCTTTTTGTTTTTGTGTCCTCCTCCACCCTCTGAAGCTGGGATGGAACAAACCCGGGGCCTTGTGCATGTCAGGCAAGCCCTCTTCACAGAGCCACACCGCCAGCCCAGTGTTCTTTCTAGGCCTCTCTTTGTGTTTGGAATGTTTCAATTGGAAAATAGTGAAAGCAAAAATGATTTTTAAAAAAAGCCAACTAGTTTATTCGAATTGCAGTTCGGCCCAATAATAGGATGCAAGTTTAAAATTGTATAATAAAACAAGGAATTCTTATTTCAGGCCTGTCTGTGGATGTCTCTGTATGTTTGTGAGAAAAGGTCAAATGTAAATTTGAGATCTTTCAAAAATATGAATTCTGCTCAAATAGGCCTTCTATCCCCAAAATGATTCAGAAAACATTGGAAGAACAAGGGCAGTGGTTGGCTAGGCACGTGGGAGTTGGGCAGGGAGAGGAGCTGAAGATTATTTTCTTTGGGGTGTTGGTCTAGAAATGAATTACTGGTTTCTTCAGCCAAGCTGGTAGGACCAATCATTTGCTTTCCCATGTGTTCCCCGCCCCCCGCCCCTGTACTGGGGATTAAACCCAGGGCCTTCACACTGAGCTATATCCTCAACTCATTTTTTATTTTGAGATGGAGTCTCACTGAGTTCCTAAATTGCCCACACTGGGCTCAAACTCATGATCCACCTGCCTCAGCCTCCCAGAGTGCTGAGATTACTGTATAGGCCTATGCCACCAGACGTGGTCTCACAGTCTTGATCTCCCTGTGGCTCCAAACTTTACAAAGTTTGATGATTCTGTCTCTTCTTGTAAACTATTTGGGTAAGATGAATGAATATATGTAGTTAAATGCTAGAAAAAGATACTTTTTTTTTTTTGAGCACTGGGGATTGAATCCAGGGTCTTCACACTGGGTTACATCTTTTATCTCCAGCCTCTTTTTAAATTTTGACTTTTTAGGGGGGTTTGGGGTTGTTTGTTTTGTTTTTTGCTATGTAGTTCAAATTGGCCTTGAACTCACCATTTAGCCCAGGCTGGTTTTGAACTCACAGTGATCCTCCTGTCTCAGCCTCCCAAGTGTTGGGATTATAGGTGTGAACCACCACATCTGGTTTAGGTACCTAATTTTAAGCAGGTTAGAAGCCATGATTTTAGCAACAACAACGACAGCCAATTCACCAAACCATACCAAAGAGCAAAACAGAGTGATAGACACGGGCTTGTGAAGTTAGCCTTAGCTTTTTTTTTTTCTCTTCTGCCTACCTACTCTTCCTGTCAGATTTTCCAGGCTGTTCATGTGGCACTTTCCAAGTGAGAATTCCAAGAAGCTGAATTGTCTTGATTCCTCCTAGCTTTGTCACAGACCACAAGGAATTATGAATGCCAACAACCCTAGAGTGACAGATGGACATTTTATGATTTTGGGTTTTGTATGTGTTTGCAGTATCTGGGATTGAACTCAGGATCTTGCGCTCTCAAGGCAGGCATGGTGCCACTGAGCTAAATCCCCAGCCCAGGATGGACATTTTAAATCACAAACATTTATGCACAACCCAAATGCTGAGTTTGGGGTAAGACATGGATCTAAGTCTCAGCCTCTCTTCCTATCCTTCCATCTTTAGGAGGGGACCTATTAAAAGTCAGGGCAAAGGAAGAGAGAAAGAATGCTTTCAGTTGAAAGACGAAAAAGCTGGCAGGAATGGGTCACCTGTGAAATGAAAAGTTTCAGTATTCCTAAAATTTGCAAAACTGAATTGATGCCATTTGCATTTTGATTTTGTAAGAAGTTAGATGTCGGGCCGGGGATTTAGCTCAGTGGTTTCGCCGCCTGCTGCGCAAGCGCAAGGACCCAAGTTCGATCCCTGGTACCAAAAAAAATAAATAAATAAAAAGAAGTTAGATGTCATAAAATTACTTTTGGGCCATCCACTGAGTGTTGAGATTAGACAAAAGAGGGTAGTAAGATGATTTCCCATGTTGGAATCATTGGATGTGAGCCTTTAAGAGGATTTTAGAAGTTACATAATCATAAAGACAAAAATGGTAGAGCCACAGAGCACTTTATCAAAATTTTAATCCAGCCAAAATTAAGCCTAATTTAATTTTAGGCTTAAAAATTCAAACCAGAAGTTTGCCATGGTGGTCATACCTGTAATCCCAGCACTCTGGGTCAGTGAGGCAGGAGGATTATAAATCCCAGCCTAGGCTGGGCAACTTAGACCCTGTCTCAAAATAAAAAATACAAAAGGGGTTGGGGAATGTAGTTCAGTGTGAAGGCCCTGGGTTCAATTTCCAATAACACACACACACACACACACACACACACACACACACACACACACACAGTCAAACCAAAAAATAGGACAAAGTGATTCACGGACATTAAGGAATAGAAAAGAAGGTAGAGGCCTCGAAGTAAAGAACAGTTTTCAAAAAGAAAATGTCCTAAATTTAGAAGTTACCAGATGAAGGTATGGAAAATATAGTGGCTCTTGTTTGTTTTTTTGGTACTGGGATCAAACTCGGGTCCTTGTGCTTGGGGGCAGGTGGCAGAACCACTGAGCTAAATCCCCGGTCCTGTGGCTTTTTTTGTACCAGGGATCGAACTCGGGACCTTTCACTTGCAAGGCAGGCGACAGAACCACTGAGCTAAATCCCTAGCCCCATCTGTGATTTTTTTTGGTGAAATATTTCATTAACTACTAAAAGCAGTCTAGAATTTCAGTCAGATGCTAAAACAATCCTTTGTAGAAAAAAATTTTGGAACTATCTGTATTACACATTTGAGTGATCCAATTATATTTTTATACACTGCCTCTGGAATGCCACACAAAGGTGCTAAACATGTCACTTTGATGATTTAGCCTTGCCACACAAATATAATAAACTAGGTATGTATACTGCTTGGCATTCTGAATTGGAAATGCATTTCTTGAATAAGTATCGTGATATGTGTAAGTATTTTGACTACTTCTGAATTGTAAGAACTGTGTCAAAGGTACAGCCAGCATCTCTGCTCTTCCGTACCTCCCAAATGAGCAGTTTGGAGTGAACAGCTCTCCTAAATCTTGTGGTCTCCGGGTAATTTTCCAGTTAGATTTGATTTGTTTCCCCCTGAAGATTTATAAATTAGTCTACTTAATTTTTACCCAAGCTTTTTTTGTTTGTAAAATTATTAAGTATTCACTTGTCCCCCTTATTACAACACGGAGTTTTCCGGCGACCTCCTGAGTAATGCAAAACAAAGACGGCAACGCCAGGGTGGACAGGGTCTGAGACACAGAATTGCAGGACGGGGATGTGAACTCCACGTGCTTCCAAAGATCTATAGTTAGAACAGTGGTTCCCAAACTTCGTTCACTCTCGGGCTGCGTCAGGACGTTTGTTAGAAATACTGATTTCTGGACCTTGCCCTATATTAATGGACTCAGGATCCCGTGAGGGTGTAATCAGGAATCCGTATTTTTTTTTAAACAAGCGCAGGAGGCTGACGAAGAATCACAGGTGGGATTTACAGGCCTCAGCCGGCCTCTCCAGGCCCCGCCCCTCACGCCCACGCCGGCCTCGCCTAGGAACCGCCCCTTTAGCCTACTCCGCCTCCTCGCGGGCCCTTTCCCATGGTGCTTCGCGCCTGGCTGTCGCGGTTGCCGGGCAACTAATGGTCCCGGGCTCAGGCTCCGCGGGATTCTGCTGGGCCATGGGGCTTCAGGGTCTCCAGTCGCTCCTGCTGGTGCTCCTGCTGGTGCTCCTGGCCCGCTGGGCCTACGTGAGCGCCCAAACCGTGGCCACCCCCGCGGTGCCGACGGAGGACCTCAACTCCACCGAGGCACCCTCAGCCACTCTCGGACCTTCCCTCACGTCTAGGACCCTAGGCACCGCCAGGACCCCGGAGCCCGCCTCCGGCCCCAGGCCTACCCCGGTCACGGATGGTGGGTACCAAACGCTAATTCCTGGGAGGCCCAGAGTGATCCAAATTGCAGGGGTATCCTGGGTGACTTAGAGTAACAGTGATAGCTTAACACCTACAGTGTGCTGGCAGGCTGAGTATTTCGTAGGCGTGAATCCTCCCACTTGTGACCCTGGTAGATATTATCCATGTCATACAGATGAGGAAACTGAGGCTCAGCGTGAGTGGGACCGTATCAGATCTTTGAAAGTACTCGACTTGGCCCTGGATATCATTAATGCTACAGACAATAATGAATGAATGTGAGCAGCCGAAGATGAAATTAGAAAGGTTTGGGCCCGGGATTTAGCTCAGTGATTCCGGCGTCTGCCTGGACAGCGCGAAGACCAGAGTTCGATCCCCGGTACCAAAAAAAAAAGTTTTTGGACAGTGGTGGAAATTAATGCATAGGCTCCATTGAACTTATTAAAAACAGACGTCAAAGGTCCAGCGTAGTGTGACTGGTTAAAGAGGCTGATTAGACTCGCAAGAACTCAGGAGTTCTGTGTTTTGTTGGAGTTGGGAAGGTATGGGATGAGTGGTTATTCGTACTTTGTAGGATTTATATTTAGGGATAGTCAACGTATCTCTCAAAAAGTGATCCTTTAATTCTGTAATTAAAAATTTAATGAATATTTTATAATCTGATTTGACATGGTGACTTCAGGAGATGTCAGTGACTCCTTGTAAGTGCAAAAGTTTGTGAATATGTATTTCTGGAATCAGCAGATTCTCAGTGGGATTTGTGATCTCAAAATTATTTTTTAATCCTGTGTCTGGATTGAGAGTAACCTTAATAGCTATGCATTTTAATCTCTTTTTTGAGAGAAAAAGCTATTTTAAGGCTCTGGTAAGTTAAAAAGCCATCATTTTCTGACATCCTGAACTCTAGGCCTTAATTTGAGTTACTGAGCCATTATTTCTCCAAAAGGCCACCTTTGGAAATTGAGTAGTCTGCAAGAAAAAATACAGGGTCAGAGATGTAGCTCAGTGGTAGTGTGTGTCTGTAGTATGCACGAGACCCTGGGTTCAAATCCCAGCACCAAAAAAAATTAGAGAAATATATTTGCTACTTTAATGCATAAATAAAACTTTTATATTTAACTGCTTGTTCTGGTAAATAGGAAAGTTAAATCAGTGATTTATTAGGACAGAATATAACCAAGTATTCAATGACCCCAAATTTTCTAAGGTTTTTGGACTGAGTTATCTTTTATTCACATAAGAAGCACTCCCATCTGTTAATACATTTTCTCACTTAAATGAAGCTGTACTTGAACTATCAGTATTTAAGGTATGTATTCAGGGCTATTTTCCCAGTATGAGTGATAAATTTGTATTTAATTTTTTTTTTTTCAGTACTGGCGTTTGAACCCAGGGTCTTTGCATTGAGCTACATTTTCGGCCCTTTTAAAATTTGAGACAAAGTCTCACTAAGCACTAAATTGCTGAGGCAGGGCTTGAACTTTTGATTCACCTGCCTCAGCCTCCCAGAATGCTGGGATTACAGGTGTGCATCACCACACCCAGCTTGACTTCCTTTTTAAAGGAACCTTCTTTAGACTTGTGACAGTAATAACTCATTTATTAATTGCTTATTGTATGCCAGGCACAGGGCTAGGCATTTCACCTGTGATGTCTTAGTTAATCATCACGTACCCTAATGGTGTGGACACTGTTATCTTCATTTTTCAGGTGGCCTACCTACTTTTAGGCCATACAGCTGCAAGTTTTGGAGCGGGAGACTATCTCTGGAGAGCTAGGTGGAAAATTGCAGAATGAGTTGCAGGCTGTATTGGTGGAAGAGAAGAGTGATCCCTGCTATCTGAGCCAGGTGTGCAGATGAGAGGCTTAGAAGGGCAGCTGAGTGCTGTTGGATCCAGCCAGGGCTCCGCAGATCCTTGATGGATGATTCAGTGCACTTGCATCTCAAATAGAGACCTTTATTTTTTCTGAGTGGAATTATTAAATACTATGGGTTAATCCTTAGGACTCTTATAGCTACCTATAAGGGCTTTTAAGTTTTATAAACAAGTGAAGATTGTAAGTTTAAACCCATAAGGCAGGGAGCCTAACTGCCCTTTCCCTTTGTTCCATTAGTGTGCATGGGCTCCATCTCTTACTAAGCACATGCTGATAGGCGCAGGTAACTTAAGGGAAGATGTTTGTAAGAAAGCATTGCATATCTATTGATAAAACCGTCCCCTCTCACACCCTTCTCTAGAGTATGTTACACTTTTGTGGGGCCACAGTTTTATCATGAAATAATTCAGAGAGACAAATAATATTGTATGAGTCCTCTGTTAGCATTTGCATGAGATTCTTGTTAGGTTTTTGCTTTTTTGACTTGAGATCTTTTTCTGAAAAAAAAAAAAAAGTAGCAAAACATAGGATAAGATTGAAGCCCTGATTTTATTTCTCTTGTTTCTACCCTCCAATAATCAGTAACATGAAGTCAGTGTTTTTATTCTCATGCTCTGCTATTTCTTTGAAAAGCTTTCCTTGTTTGACAGAGGGTGAATTAGTAGGAAAGTTTAATCAGTGATAAAGTGGGACAGAATATAGCTGAGAATTCAGTGCCTGAAATTGAGATTTTTTAATTTAGTGGTCTTTATCCACATAATGCTGTATGATCAAAAACTGGCAAATGTTTAAATTTTTAAAAATTTATTACAGCAAAGATACATTGCCATGAATCTCCCTCAAAATCCACACATTTATCCCATCATTCTTGCCACTTGCTGAAGCCGTCCAGAGTCCTCTTTTGTGTCTTTAGTTGTACATCTTGGCTGACTCAGTGCCTTGAATTGATTCAAAATGTTTACTTTTCATGATCATTTTGACATTGGGGAAGAGCAAGAAGTTGCACGTTGCCAAATCTGGTGAATAAAGTAAAGGATGATACACCATAATGTTCACCTCCTTGATTTTTTTTTTTTTTTTTTTTTGGTACCGGGGATCGAACTTGGGTCCTTCTGCTTGCTCAGCAGGCAGCAAAATCACTGAGCTAAATCCCCGGCATACACCATAACGTTTATGAGCCTGCCTTCCTGTTGGATGGCACGCAGCAGCTGAATTCACCGTATTTTTGATCATACCTTGTAAAGACACAAAAGAGGACTTCCAGAACTGCTTCTGAAAGTGGCAGGAATGATAGAGTAAGTGTGTTCAAACTGAGGGGGAATACTCTGAGTGGGATTAATGGCGGTGTGTCTTTTACTATAATAAAAATTTTAATTTAAATATTCACTTAGTATATTTTGGTTGCCCCTTGTAATTACTACATCTGTTAAAAATGGAGATACAAAGGTAGGAGTTAAAAATCTGGATAATCATCACCAGCAGTTAAAAGTTGTATAGTGGAGAGTCCTGCCTTTCTTTCAAGTTTTGTTGTCTGAATTACCAAAGGTATTCTAAGGACCCGAGACAGTGTAATTCTTGGCCAAAGTCCTGGAGGGTCAGGGATTTAGCTCAGTGGTGCCATGTCTGCCTTGAAAGCGCAAGGTCTCAAGTTCGATCCCCGGTACCAAAAAAAACAAAGACCTGGAATATGAGTTCAGCGTCAAAGCTGTAGATTATACTGTACTAAGAAGAGGGACAAACCTGAAAACCCATTTTCCCTAGAGGTGTTAAGTTGGTCCTTCCTCCAATTATAATCTCTAGAGGAGAAGGGGTTTGGGAATCTGGGGCTGGACCCATGGCTCTCTGATGATTAGGTATGCTGGTTCTTAAACACACGCCAATTATCAGTGTCACCTGAAAGTTTTGAAAAACGAAGCTGTCCGGTCTTCGTATTGAGCTTTCTAAATCAGAGTCCTTGTAGCGGGAACATGAACAGCCCTTCCTGAGTCAGGTGATCAGCTGCCTCAAGATGCCTCTCATGTAGAGCACCCAAACTGAATAACATCCACTTCACAGATTTCCCCCAAAGCACCCTAGGGAACATAAAGCAGACCTTTTGTATGAAACTGATTTCTGGCACCTTGTGATGGCAGGGGGCAGTCACCACCCGCTGATGGTAACCCTCTGAATCCTACCCTTCTTCCTGCAGTTGCTGCTCTGTGTGTCTGTGACTTGTCCCCGGCACAGTGTGATGTCAACTGCTGCTGTGACCCTGACTGCAACTCTGTGGATTTCAGTGTCTTCTCCACCTGCTCAGTTCCAGTTGTCACGTAAGTGTATGACGTGTAGTTTTGATAAAATTTGACTGACTAGGCCAGTAAAATCTGGAGACAGAAAGTGAAAACTTCCCCAGGTTGAAAAACCCAAACCTGATTTCCCATGTTTTGCACAGTTCAGAAGCCATCCTGGGCAGAACCATATGTAAAGCAGTAGGCAGCCCTTATTTGCATCCAGTTGGGTGATAGTGCAGGCAAAAGAGAAGAAAAGAGAAGAGTGTACGGTGCTCAGAGTAGAATGGGATAGTTTGGTGCTTGGAGATCAGATTCCATTTCAGTTGGAGTTGTGAACAGATCTCTATCATACTTGTATCAGTGAGTTAGTCTCATGTGCAGGTGAAGAGTGTGGTTTAATTTCACGGCTCTTGTTGAGAACATTGCACCTGTAACAACTGAGCAGACAGGAATGTTTTGCTTATACTCTTTGATATATAATTCTACCAGGAGTTCTCACAGCTCACGTATAGAACAAATGACTCCCAGTGGATTACATGGTAGAGATAATCTGCTCTGAATGATTTGATCTCAGATTTCAGTGTCTTGAAAAAACTTAGCACTTCAAAAAGGTTTGTTTATTCAGGATGGACCAATTTGCTATTGAGAGAGTGGATATAAATTTCCTTATAGCACATTTTAACAATTGACACTTGGCAGGTTGAATCTTTTTTTTGAAGTACCTGGGTTTTTCCCATGAGAACTGATTTTATTCACCCAATGGGAAATTGAATCTATTTCTAATGTTGTTTAAAAAAAAAAAAGCCCAGGGCCAGGGATTTAGCTCAGTGGTTCCACTGCCTGCCTTGCAAGTGCAAGGACCCAAGTTTGATCCCCGGTACCAAAAAAAAACAAATAAAAAACTGGGAGAATGCGGTGGTGTAGTCAGATTAATTTTCTGACTATAGCATGGTCCAGTCTTTGTTGAAAATCTATCTACTCCCCTGCCTACATAAGTACAGGACCCCAAGAGTGAGATTTCTGCTTTAGGGAGCATTATTTAGAATGTCATTTTTCTTATTAGCCTGTATGATGATTTTAGATGTGGAGTCCAGTATTTAGATCAGTGTCAGCAAACTTTTTCTCTAGGGGGCCAGATAATAAACATTGTTTTTTTTTTGAATAGTAAAGTAATTTTATTGAATGATGAAAAACTAAAGTGACAAGAAGTATGGATAGTAAACAATCATTAAGTTCTACTGGAATTCTAATTTTTTCTTTTCACTTTTAAGCCAAAAAACATAAATTTATAGATTATTAACTAGTTGCTTGTTGTTCCTTCAACAAAACTGCATAGTCTAGCAGCTGCACAACATTAAATATCTACATTTTTGAAAAGCCCTGAAAGTTTAATTTTTGTGTTGACTTCAAAGGCTAATGTAATGAGCTGCACTGGTCAGATTCAGAGTTTCCTTTTCCTTTTCTGCCACCCTGATACTTGGTTAATTCTACTTGTAATACTTTCACTTTAGATCTTTCTTGTTCTAATGCAGCATGAAGTGAAGTTACCTGTATAATTAGCTTATTCTTGATACTTTGTGATTCATCAACTTGCAGAAGTATTTCTGCATTATCTTTCATTTCACCTTCCTGAAGCATTTTCAGTAACTGTGCGTTTCTTGTCTTCTTTATACTTTGCCTCCCGTTGAGTGATCATATTTTTCAGCTTCTGGATTTCAGCGTCTTTCCTTTCAAGTTCCAACTTTAGTCTTTCAGTTCTTCCATCTTTAAGAACCACTTCCTTGTGCTCATGAGCTGTACAGTTATCTGTTCCATTATATTCTGTAAACTGTTCTCTTCTTTTTTCTCTAATAAGAATTTTATGAACATCATCTTCCAATCTATTGAAGAATCCTCCATCATGTGATAAGGTCTGAAAAGAACTCAATTCCTCAGTCTTTTTACTAATGTGATCTTCAGATTGGAAGTCTTTTAGTGATACTGTGAGAGGTTTATCTCTTCCTTGATGATTCTTTTATCTTTTTTATGCATAACCTTTGACTGAGTTGAAGCATTTTCAGTATTTTCATACTCCTTTTTGTGCTCTTCATATTCTAATTTACTTAGCAATAGTGCCTTTTCAAGATCAGCTGCAAACATTTCAGATATCAGCTGTTCATCTGTTTGTCTCCATTCTTGCCAGTTCTCTTCTGGTGAATCCTTCTACACAGGGTTTGACAATGGAAGGTCCTGATGAGCCTTACAAATGGCATGAGAGGATTTCTGGGGAATCTTCTTAAAACCAAGATTCCTAAGCTCATTTGCTTCACTCTGTTGCTGTTCTTTCTTTTTTCTTCCCTTTTCTCTTTTTTTCTCATTTGTAATTGATTTGCTTCCCATAGTTTGAGACTTTCCAGTATTCCAGCCTTTCCCTTTTCCAGGCTCAGAATCAGAACCGCTGCCACTATCTACTTGTAAAAGGGCAAAACGAGAAGCTGTAGTGGGAACAGAAATAAGTACTGCTGAGGCCATGGTACAGCTTTGTCTTTTCAAATGCTTCTGTCAAGAATAATTCCTTAACCCCAAAATCACAGCTGTCCTAAACCAGTAGACACCCAGTAGATAATATTTCTCACAACTACACAGAGGAAGCCTAGGGGCTAGGGAATACCCAGCTTGGGCAGCAGCGGCTTCAAATCTGTCACTCGTGGCCCCAGGCTCAGCCAGGCCTGGGTTCCTGTTTCCCACCCAGCACCACCGTGGCCCTGCCCGAGAGTGGCCCTCCGCTGATCCAGGATCCAGCCGGTGGGCTCAGCGACCCGATAATAAATATTTTAATCTTCACAGGTGAGTAGATCTGTCTTGCAGCTTCTCAGCTTTATCTTGGTTGAGCAAAAGCAGCTAAAGATACAGAAGTGAAGGGGCATAACTATGTTCCAGTGTTAACTATAAACACAGGAGCAGTTTGCAGACTTCTAATATAGAAAACAGGGCTGGGCCGGGGATTTAGCTCAGTGGTGCCGCTGCCTGCCTCGAAAGCTCAAGGTCCCCGAGTTCAATCTCCTGTGCCAAAAACAACAACAAACCAAGGAGGCAGTTTTCATTAAAGTATCAAGTGAGCTATCTGGAGCAAAAGCCATCTTTTGTAGTTTTTTTTTAAACAATATTTGAGGCTGAGTAATAAACTAGTCTTTAAAAATAATATGACCTATCAAATCAGGATCTAGGGATGTATGTTTTATCAGTGCCTCTAGTAAATGATCTAAGAAGGCAGTGGGGGTCTTTCTCTTGATGAATAGTTAGCAATTTAAAATAATTGAATTAATTAGTTCTTGTCTTCCTTAGACCTTTAAGAATGTGTGCCTGGAGATGTCTCCTACTCTCCCATCTGGTTGGTAGGCCAGTAGGGGTCTTGGGTAGGGACTGCTTGGGCTCCAGTGAGAACTGGCTGTTCCCCTGGCTGCCTGTCTTCTGGTCTTCTAAAACTAACAATATGGTATTTCTCCCCAAATGTAATAGCAGCTTGTAATGCTGCTTGTCTCTCATTAGAAGTCAATGTTTGATTTAAGAGTAATATTATATCTTTCTAGCCTAGTTCATGGGTCTGAGTAAGTCCTCTAAAGACCTCAGTGTACTTATTAAGATCATCTGAAAACTTTCCCAGATCTTGTTTGATCTGTTTGAGGTCATTGAGAGGAAAGGACACGTGGACATGAATATGTCTGAATTTGCCATTTACTTCTTGTAAGGGGTATTGTCCTTGAGGGGCTTGAACAAAATCAGCTACTGGTGGCTATAGCTCAGTAGAGGCTTCAGTTGTGGCTGACTTAGAAGCCTCACCCTTAGACTCCACGGAGTAAGGGAGAGGGACCTCAGACTCCAAAGGGCAAGTAGGGAAAACCTCAGGCTTGTTATTAGTGGATGAGGCTTTGATCAAGATTGCCTTGAAAACCTCATCCTCAGGTTCCAAAGGGTAAGGGTGGGGTATCTCAGGCTTAGTGATAGTGAATACCTTAAGGGCCAGAGGTGTCTGGTCTTCTTGTGGCTTATATTTGCATTTTGAACACAAGGATTATTTTTTAATGTAACGAAAGTCTAAATGTAAGGTAATTCTGACAATTTTACCTCTTTCTTACAGCATGATTTTAGTTGTGAAATAGTATCATAATCTGTACTTCTCTCTGCATTCCATTTTGGCTCTAGGGGGTAGTAGGCAGGCCATGTGTGGGTACAGAAAAATGCTAAACCACTCTTTTTCAATATATGAGGATCAAACATTTTCTAATGTTTAAGAATACATTTTAAAGGAATGAGATTTTGTTGTTGTTGTTTGTTTTTTTTTTGGTACCAGGGATCGAACTTGGGTCCTTGTGCTTGCAAGGCAAGCAACGGAACCACTGAGCTAAATCCCTGGCCCAGGAATGAGATTTTGACATTGAGTCTCCCACATGAAAATACAAGAGAAAGAATTGGTGTTCCTTTAATTTCTACTTGATTCCATATCCTCAAGGGATCCCCTGAGGTGACCCACTCCAGAGCTGTCTGAAGAGTAGAAGATAGGTCGGGTCAGACTGGCCACGCTTACCAGCTCATGACCTATCTTTCCTGGAAACTCACACTCCTAATTCTAGCAGGTGTTTCTTTTTTTTCTTTTTTTCTTTTTGGTACCAGGGATCGAACTCAGGACCTTGCACTTGTGAGTCAGGTGGTAGCACCACTGAGTCTAGCAGGTGTTTCTAAAAGCACAAGTTACAGTTGCTTTTAGCTGTAACAATCATGTTTAAAGAAGGAAGAATTGTTAACAAAATCAATAATCAAAAGATCTAAATCCACTGTTTTCCAATTCTTTGAAAGAGAGTGAGGGCAAATTGAAAGTGATAGGATCACCTCCCAGCCTGCAAAAGAAATCTAGAGATAGTCAGGTTATCTACCTAAATACCTAGGTAGTCTTCCGTAGCAGCAAGATAAGGCTAAGTTTTACTCAAAATCTACCCTAAAATTTCTATGTCTCCAAAGCTCACAGGTTAAGCTTATACCCATTGCTTATCAACCACAATTTA